CAAGGTGGTCCTAGTGGCATTAAGAAACAGAGAAAAGAAGCAATTGGTACCTGAGGTGTTGCTGGAAGGGGATTCCCCTTCCAAACTGTAAACAATCCAATCTCTCTCCTCCTCCAGTCTCCCATACATTAAGAAGAATCTCCAATAAAGGTAAGTGTTATGCTGTTAATGTTTCATTCATCATTTCCCATTGTATTGTTTATGTACTATATGTATATTTCATGTAAAATTTTTTTTGTTTTAATACTTCTGGGTGTCAGGAACGGATTAATTGTATTTACATTATTTCTTATGGGGAAAATTGATTTGCAAATCGTAAATTTCGTTTATAGTAATGGCTCCAGGAACGGATTAATTACGAAAAACGAGGGATCACTGTACAATAATAATAATAATATGTATAATAATAATGTACTACATATAATAATTATAGTAATAGACGGCTTCAAAAGGCCGTCACTAGATGGCAGTGTTTACCACAACAAAGAGGGAGCGGTTGTGGCCGCCTCCACCTGTTACACAATGACATATTTTATTCATTCTAGGGTATATATCAGGTTTCTATGTTATTTATATTGTTTATTATTTCATATTAGATGAACTGTGATAGATAGATAAGCCAGAGTTGATGATAGTGAAATATTCAAGGAGTATTTTGTCCTGTCTCCAGACAAACTCTCATTGGCCACTGCCACCACACATATAATGACATTTTATTCATTCTAGAGAATATATCATGTTTCTATGTTATTTATATTGTTTGTTATGTCGTGATAGATAAATAAGCTGTAGAGTTGATGATAGCGAAATATTCAAGGAGTATTTTGTCCTGTTTCCAAACACTCGTCGGCCGCCGCCACATATACAATGACATATATTATTCATTCTAGAGTATATATAGGTACAGTGTATTAGGTTTCTATGTTATTTATATTGCTTATTATGTCATATAGATCAAGTGAGATAGATAAATAAGCCTTAAAGTTGATATTAGCGAAATTATTGAAGTACATGTACAGAATTCCACTGGAACGGATTAATTGCATTTCAATTAATTTAAATGAGAAAAATTGACTCTGCAAATGAGCAAATCCAGTTGCGAGCAAGGTCATGGAACAGATTAAACTCGTGAGTAGAGGTTCCACTGTACTAATAATAATAACAGTAAGGAGAAACTTCAAAAGGCTGCCAGTAGTTGGCGCCACCATCAGCAAAACATTGGTAACTACTACTAGTACACTTTGCACCTGTCTATACTTAACCCTTAAACGGTCCAAACGTATATATACTTTTTTTCAACATCTGAAAGTATGTAGAAAAATGCAGATCTTTTTTGTTTTACATTTGAAAACGTGTAAAAAAACTTTTATCTACATTTTTTTTTTGTTGTATTTGAAAATATGTAAAAAAAAAGTAGATCTACTTTTGGAGCACTATGAATTTGAACATCGATCTATTTGGACCGTTTAAGGGTTAAGTAGGCATTTCTGCCCGAAATGCCTCTGCATGATAGTGGCTTTCTTTGCTCCAATCATATTATGATATGTAAACACACATTGTAACCTTTGCAAAGAAGTGTATATTTTATTTATTTAAGGAACCTCCCTTGAAGGGGAAGTTCGCATCCTGAAGCAAGAAATCGACCGAACGACAATTCGTAACCTTAAAAAATTTGCATGGTGGGGGCGTTTGTAACCCGAGGTTCCACTGTATACGTTCTTACCGCTAGTGCCCCAAACATATATAAATGTTTTATTTTTCCTGCCTTCAAATATGGAACGATTGGGCTGAGATGCCTTGTCAGCATAGAATGGGTCATAACACTGTGTGCACTGTATGAAAAAAATCTGGGACCACCAGCTCAAATGAGTGGCAGCTAGAGCAAACACCTGGGATTCACTGATTTCATGTAGTATAACTCTCCCATTTTAAGAGGAAAGTGATGTTGACCCTGAGTTCAGTAGCTTTGAGGTGGATGTGGCCATAAGTGGTTGAGGAAATATAAAAAATAACCCATGTGCAACATTCTTTCAGAATGTCTTATAACCTATGCCCTAAGTAAAGAGTAACAATTCTGGAATGTAATACTTGTTCAGTAGGTTGGCCAGCCTGGCTCCGTTTATCTGTCTATGTCTATCTGCCTCTGTCTCACAGGTACACATAAATACAAGTATACATAGTGTAAATTACCTAGGATAACCCAAAAAATCCAGACAATGCTATACTCTGCTTGAAGATGAGTAAACGTGATGATGCAGTCTTGTGGCTCTCTCTGAGACAGAGTTTGACAGACATGTTTGTGTACCAGTGAAAACAAAACAAGGGCCAATGCTCATGAAATGTCACCTCTAGTCTTATCACCGCACCCACGCACATGATCATCAAATGTCAGCTCTTATCTAATGTTATCTCATCAAGTCACTGTCAGGAGTGGACTGAGGCTTGTTTTTCATGCTTCAAGAGAACTACTACTACTTATATTCTTCCACATATCCAAAATTTTGCTGGGACCTATAAATACTTTGTACTATATATTCCAAGACAGTAAATGTCCACCTGTCAGTGTGCTTGTGACAATTTTAGTATCTAATGCTAGTGTCAGAACAAAGATTGGTTATGAAATGACAAGAACTACTATAAATTGTAATTATCAGAACATAAAAATTATTTAAAATATGAAAAATAGAAAAAAGGTATATCGGCAACATCATCACCTGCAAGTGGCAGGCGATGATGAAGATCGTTTTAAATTGAGAATTTAAGCATTTTACCAATATCCTCAAGTAGCTCCTACAGTGTTAAGTAGTTTATCTTCAAGTCTTCTTAATCATACTATTTTTTTTATTGGCTTCTTTCCTATAAATTTGGTTCCTCAGGCAATTCCTTCTTTGTCAGCTTCTTGCAGCATTTCATTTGCATCTTCAAAGCCCTCATATCTTGGTTCTTGCCAGATCCACAATTTCGTTGATGTAACTCCTTCTTTACTTAGGAGAAAAAGAGAGAAATTTACCACTGAAGGTCATAATTAACCCTAGCCTTCATTTGCACAAGAACATCTGCAATGTTGAATTCATGCCATTACTCTGGCACAACAGTCTCAGAACTTCCATCTATTACTCTAATGAGTTTTTACATAACTGGGCACATGTTTTTTCATTGAATTGTCTTTCTGACTTCTCCATTATCAAGAGTGAGTGAGGAGAACCTTGAATACGAGATTATCTTTCTGGCCAGGTACATCTTGACTGCAGGAATAAAATAATGCCTTAAATTAATCAACAAACAGGGTGTCTTAATGTTTTACAGCACTGTAAATTACCATTACCTTACAATTGAACTGTTGCATTTGTTTAGAGAAGCAAGGTAATGTTTACTTCCTTTCTAACAAGCTGCACTTTTTGCTTGTTAATAAAGGTTCTTGATGGCATGCACCTTAAAGGTTGTCCTATTTTGTCAGCATTAAACATTCAGTTTAAATTGTAACTGTTCTCAGTAATATTTGCTTAGAGTATGCAGGGAAATTTTGCATGGCAGTGTGATCATCTGCTGTACTCTTGACTGTATGCCTTGTGTTTTGAAGTTGGTTGTCCTTTTCCAATGTTTTCAAATAGTCACACAAACATACTGTTATGAACACTCTTCTTAAGCAATGTTTTGCAGTATTGTACATGAGGGTTTTGTGTCTTACTTTCTGAGCACTAAGTAGGGACACTTTCCTTGTGTTCTCTCATACAAAACATACAAGCATTATGCATCACATACGCATATTTAAAGTTTCCAACTTCAGTACCCTTGGAGCCGATTATTATAGTATTCTGCTTGATACATCTAGCATCACTAACATTCCTCTTGGGTGCCACATTGAATATCCAGAATAGAGATGATGTGAGAAAAAAGTTCCAAAATACTTTGATGACACTGAGAAAGGAAGAAGACAATCCTAACTTGTGTTGAAGGGAAGAAAATCAACTATGCAAACTTAAGTGATTTTTACATATAACTTGAGTATTCTGTGCCTACAAAGCTTTTTCAGATGGTAATCAAAAAAAGAATTCAGTTGCATTTACACAGAATCCATACTACAAGTCTCGAGTCCATATTATCTCAGTGCTAACTCTTTTCTTGATCAAGCTCTAATAATCTTGAATTTGGAAACTATATGAACCTCCTGTACTCCAGCTCTAATGATCTTGACTGTAAATTCTAACACATGTTACATTCAATTTTAAGCCTAGAGGTCTCCCTCACTAGTACAGAATTTAATTCAGATTAAGCTCATAGTAATTTGAGTGTGGCAAATCCAGTCTTTTATACGAATGTGAATATAAACCCACAGACTACTATTTGAAGAGGTATCCCTCAGATGGCACCTCACCACCACAATGATACACAGAACAGCAACCATTTGATGGGTCACATGAGTTAAAACTGCACAGGAACCACTCACTCTGATGAGATTAGTAGTTTACTGGTAACCTTCCACAGTGAATGGGAAACTTTCTATTTGAATCACAACTGCCTCTAGTTCTGAGTCTGTTGGCTCATTTGAATTATGACTGAGTGGTATCTGTTTTTGTACAAAAATGGTCGTGTATTTATAAGGAAATATGGTATTGAAAAATAAAGACTGCATGATCATAGATTACACTGCAGATATACACCTGAATGTATCATACAAGAGTAAGAAAGCACTCGTGGTCAAGCTATGTATTGAACAGGGCACTTGGTGGAAATGCTTATTAGTTTAGAGTCCCTATAGGTAGGACAGAGTAGTATTTATCTCTAATTTGGTGAATTGAGAAAAGGTGGGATTGAAATGTACATGCAAGTGTCCTATAAGTAGCACTGAAAGTTTGTTAGTGCCTAATTGTAGCCAGAGTCGCTTATTAATCTTGCACTATTTTTCTTTTTTACCAGTATAGTTTACAAAAAAAAAAACAAATTATTGTATAAATATAGTGATTAGTAGAATTTGGTTAATAAATGTATGTTTATTGCAGGACTGGATTGATATGTAGCAAGGTCAAGGGATGTGATAACTGCATGAAAAAGAAGGCAGTGTGTGATCAAGAACAAAAATTCCAGGAGGTTGCTTGATGTAAGGTTTGCTCCTGTCCACTACAAGCTGTATGACCTCCAGTCCTTAGTAAAGTGAAATATTTACTTCCATTTTATTCTTTGTGGCTGCTATAATTTTGTATTTGTCTGCCTAATTACCTTAGCATATTTTGCTTTCTCAGACCCTATGGAGGTCACGAGGGGCTCTTAAATGTAATTCAATAACAAAAAGGCACAATACTGTGACCTACTACTATTTGACTGCGGCCCTCCCTCCGTTATGTAGTTGCTCTCATGACTAGTAGTCTCTTCCACCATTTCTCGATGCCCTTCCATTAAGTTTAAAGCTGAATGGGAATCTTAATTCTTTGCTTCCTTTCCATATCGACCACATACAGGTTTTGCGCTTTGTGTACTGCAAGCCTATGCACATTCACTACTTATCATTCTTCCTCTGTCAAGAAAAGTGTTCCGATTTCTCTCTCTTTCTGTGCTCCTCAGTTCCTTGAATCAGAAATTTCCACTTTGTAATTCATTCTCTCATCTTGGCTACCCTTCCCATTTCATAAAGTCTGCCTTCTCACATGGAAAATGGACTTTCTTTTCCCAAACTCCCCAATATATTTCCAGTTTCTAATCTCAACAACTCCTCAGACATCAAATTTACTTTTTGCATCTCTCCTCCTGGTGTCTACTGTTATTTCCTGTTTAGTACCTTGGAGAACAATAGTGTTAGTCTTGCCGACACCAACAATGCTCTTTTCTGTCATGTCAGAGATCAGTCATCCTGTTGACTGGTCTTCTGCTAAAACTGTCTACCCTACTAACTTTTGACAGTCGCTATTTGAATCCTCCCTTATACATAACTTGTATGAATCTTAGTGTCTGGAGATTCCTTCCTTTCCCATTACAATGTAAAATCCTCCAAATTTCAGAACACTCATGACTTAAGAATCAGGTTTTTTCTTGGGTCCTTTACTTTCCCCGACTAATTGCCCCCTTCCTGTTAGTATGACTTTGTAAATGGTCCAAAACATCATTGTGTGCTCCTCTTATGTGTGGGTAATTCAACATGGTAGAAAGTGTGTATTTAATAAACTCAGGAGTCATACAGCAATCAGGTTGGCCCTAAGTAGAGAAAAATGTTTATTCATGATACTATGTTGCTGATGGCACTTTTTTTTTTTTTAGCCTGTGGCGAGTGTAAAGCACCGTCTCCCTGCCTTGTGGTGGGATATCAAACCTATAGAGTCCATATAGCTTCTATGGGAGGCACTAAATATTTGATCCAAGGAAAAAAAACAATGGGTGCTCTAATCACTTGCTTCAAGGTATCTCTCTTGAAATGCAAAAATAACTAATTATTCATTAACATATTGAAAGGACAGATTACTAAACCTGTAGGAGTCTTATTGTACCAAAGGTAATGGATGATGGCACTTTGGTTTGATCGAAGTAAAAGAAGACTTCTAACAACATCCCCTCAGCTACATAGAGAGAACTCCTTTGAGGGGTCTTATAGTAATCCAATAAGGGAGGGGAGTGGGATCAGTACAAGAGCACTAAACCCAAAGAGGTTATGCAGATCCTCGCTGTATACCCCTTCTTTTTTATTATAATAATATGCAGATCCTGAGTAGGGATGGGAGGCAACACCCGTATGGAATCTAAAGAAAAGGAGTGAAGATATAATAGCTCTTCACACACACGCATGCCTATTTTCATAATTGAGTGCTAAACTCATAGGTAGGAATATGATTTAAAGTAATAAATCAAGGTCATATAATAGACAATCTAAGGAATGAAGATAACTAGTGCATTGGATTAAGGAACAAAATTATTAGTAAAATAGACCAATGTGTTATCAGTTATTTTTATACAAAAAATTATTAATTAAACGTTAAATTTCAATGTTTCATAAGTGAATTCATATTTCTCTCATTATAATAGAAGTAAGATTTGAATTAATTTTTATCCTATTTTCTACATCCAAAATATTTTCAGTATCCCAAGGTCAATTAACATTTATTGCTCTTACCAAAGGAAAAAAAAAATAGAAATAATAGACCATGTACTATTTATTGTTCATAGGAAAATTAAAAAATTGTAGCCAACAGTAGACTTCTCTTCCAAGCATCTTGGAAATGCTCTCACTGAAAGAAGCACCACACTACCTGTCAACATAAAGTGGAATTACTGTCACAATTAAGAATAATTTTTGTCCAAGAAATATTAACAAACAGTAGAAAAGGATTATTAACTTTTTTAGAAATAAAAAATATTGAATCATCCAACAGAACTTCAAATCTGGTGAACACTCCTTGCACATTACCCACCTACCTACTCCTCTCCATCACTGTACATATTTAGTCAGGCTAAACACATACACATCAAGAGCTGTCATTATCCTGTTTGCCACCATTAGGGACTTCATTACCAAGCCTAATCTACCTCTTTCTCAGTACAGTGGACCCCCGCATACCGATGGCACCACATAACGATTAATCTGCATACCGCTTGCTTTAATCGCAAAAATTTTGCCTCGCATACCGCTTAAAAACCCGCTCACCGATTTTCGTCCGAGACGCGTCCAATGTGCGCCCTCAGCCAGCCTCACATGTGCCGCCCGTGCCATTGTTTACCAGCCAGCCTCCGTGGTAACATCCAAGCATACAATCGGAATATTTCGTATTATTACAGTGTTTTCGGTGCTGTTTCTGGAAAATAAGTGACCATGGGCCCCAAGAAAGCTTCTAGTGCCAACCCTACACCAATAAGGGTGAGAATTCCAATAGAAATGAAGAAAGAGATCATTGATAAGTATGAAAGTGGAGTGCGTATCGCCGACCTGGTCAGGTTGTACAAGAAACCCCAATCAACCATCGCTACTATTGTGGGCACCAGAAAGGCAATCAAGGAAGCTGTTCTTGCCAAAGGTTTAACTGTGTTTTCGAACAAAGATCGCAAGTGATGGAAGATGTTGAGAGACTCTTATTGGTGTGGATAAATGAAAAACAGCTAGCAGGAGATAGCATCTCTCAAGCGATCATAAGCGAAAAGGCTAGGAAGTTGCATCAGGATTTAATTAAAAAAAATGCCTGCAACTAGTGCTGATGTGAGTGAATTTAAGGCCAGCAAAGGTTGGTTTGAGAGATTTAAGAAGTGTAGTGGCATACATAGTGTGATAAGGCATGGTGAGGCTGCCAGTTCGGACCACAAAGCGGCTGAAAAATATGTGCAGGAATTCAAGAAGTACATAGAGACTGAAGGACTGAAACCTGAACAAGTGTTTAATTGTGATGAAACAGGCCTGTTTTGGAAGAAAATGCCAAGCAGGACCTACATTACTCAGGAGGAAAAGGCACTCCCAGGACATAAGCCTATGAAAGACAGGCTTACTTTGTTGATGTGTTCCAATGCTACTGGTGATTGCAAAGTTAAGCCTTTATTAGTGTATCACTCTGAAACTCCCAGACCGTTCAGGCAAAAGAATGTCCTCAAGGAGAATGTGTGTGTGCTGTGGAGGGCAAACAGTAAGGCATGGGTCACTAGGGACTTTTTCTATGACTGTTACACCATGCATTTGCCCCAATGTGAAAGATTACCTAACTGAAAAGAAATTAGAACTTAAGTGCCTCCTGGTGTTAGACAGTGCCCCTGGTCATCCTACAGACGTGGCAGAGGGGACTTTATGGGGACATGAAATTCATTAAGGTGAAGTTTTTGCCTCCTAATACCATCCTCTCCTGCAGCCCATGGACCAGCAGGTTATTGCAAACTTCAAGAAACTGTACACAAAAGCTCTGTTTGAAAGGTGCTTTGTGGTGACCTCAGAAACTCAATTGACTCTAAGAGAGTTTTGGAGAGAGCACTTTAATATCCTCAATTGTGTAAACCTTATAGGTAAGGCTTGGGAGGGAGTGACTAAGAAGACCTTGAACTCTGCTTGGAAAAAACTGTGGCCAGAATGTGTAGACAAAAGGGATTTTGAAGGGTTTGAGGCTAACCCTGAGAGGATTATGCCAGTTGAGGAATCCATTGTGGCTTTGGGGAAAGTCCTGGGGTTGGAGGTTAGTGGGGAGGATGTGGAAGAGTTGGTGGAGGAGGACAATGAAGAACTAACCACTGATGAGCTGATAGATCAACTTCAAGAGCAAGAGGCCAGACCTGAGAAAACTGGTTCAGAGGAGGGGAAAGAGAAATTGAAGAAGTTGCCTACTACAAAGATTAAGGAAATCTGTGGAATGTGGCTGAAAGTGCAAACCTTTATGGATGAGTATCACCCTCACACAGCTATTGCAAGCCGTGCTGGTGATTATTACACTGACAATGTTGTGAAAACACTTTAGGGAAGTCATAAAGGAACGAGAGGTACAGGCCACTATGGACAGATATGTTGTGCGAAAGAAGTCCAGTGACTCTGAAGCTGGTCCTAGTGGCATTAAAAGAAGAAGGGAAGTAACCCCAGAAAAAGGACTTGACACCTCAAGTCTTAATGGAAGGGGATCTCCTTCTAAACACTAACACTCTCTCTCCCCTCCTCCCATCCCATCAATCATCACCAGATCTTCAATAAAAGTAAGTGTCATGTAAGTGTGCATGCCTTTTTCAGTTTGTGTGTATTAAAATTAACATTTCATGTGGTAAAAAATTTTTTTTTTTCATACTTTTGGGTCTCTTGCACGGATTAATTTGATTTCCATTATTTCTTATGGGGAAAATTCATTCGCATACCGATTATTTCGCATAACAATGACCCCTCTTGTACGGATTAAAATCGGTATGCGGGGGTCCACTGTACCTTATTCATTCCCATACTAAACATTATTATATCAGCCACACACCTCTTCCTTTCACATAAACAATTATAGGTCTTCCTTCAATATGTACAAATCTTTCATAAAAATTTCATTAACCCCTCTAGTTATAATTATATTAAATATATCTTATATAGCATCTCTGTACAAAGAATTAGTAGGGAAAATCACAGTTAAGCACTAAACCCTACACCTCTTAGTAAAACACTATGCCAAGCAATAAAATGTACAAGTCTAGTCGGGGAAAAGACGAGACTATTTATCTCTAATCAGAACATGTGCTAAATCCACCAGGGTCATACAGCAAATTATTACTAGCATGACACATTTAGAAAACATGCCTCTTATAGCTCTTCCTTCCATATATGCAAATTAACTTAGTACATATATATTTTAGTAATCCAGTTTTCAATAACTATATCAAGTATATTGTAACATGCTATAACCATCTCTTTCCCTACTTATTCTTCCTCAGCAATTATTATACAATCAAAACAAGTGCTAAACCACGTGGCTCGTTCAGCTCCTCATAAAATACATTTTTTTATCCAGATTATTATTATAATCAAAAAGAAGCGCTAAGCCACAAGGACTATACAGCGCTGCAGGGCAGGAAGTAAGTGAGGGCATCAGGTGGCAAAAGGGGGATGGACGAGAAATAGGTTACGGATAACAGCGGGGTAGTGGATGGTAAAAGGGGTTTAAAAGGGCAGCAGAGACTGAACTAGAAAGGGCTGAGGGGAGTGCAAAAATTTATCATCAGAGTTTTGGAGTAAATCAGTCATTGTCAAGAAGTCAATGAGAGAGAGTCAGGATTAAAGGAGGGTCCATCAGCAAGAAGGGAAGGTAAAGAGAGAGTAGTAGGACGAAGATGACGTTGGAAGTAAATTCTGCATGCTCGTTGATAAGGCAGTCTAACAGAATGGGGCTAATCGATACGGGAAACTTGCACTGCTCACAGAGAGGAACAGGATGCCTCTCCATGAGCCACCCATGAGTAAGACGAGTGTGGCCAATGCGAAGGCGGGAGAGAGTGGTCTCCCAACCTCGCACTGATGAAAAGAAGACGGCCAGTAACCTATGCTCGGTTTAATAGAATGAATTTGTTCCCAAAGCAGAGTTGCCCAAACGTTGTTGCCAACGGGTGCGAAGGTGGGTAGCTATTGCAGCAAAATAGTCCAGAAATGGAACCCCTCGATGGGAAATTGGTAGGTCATGTATGCTGACCGCGCAGGCAGTGTCTGCCTGTTCATTGCCCTGTACGTCGACATGACCAGGGCCCCAAACAAAAAACAATATCTTTGTTTGGTAGAGTTTACGGCGTAGCCAAAGTTGGATACGGAGAACTAGGGGATAGATGTATCAAATTTTCGTATAGCCTGTAGAGCACTAGGGAGTCTGAGATACTACAAATAAATGACACAGGCATAGTTTCGATACGAATAAGTGCTGCAAGAATGGCATACAGTTTCAGCAGTAAAAATGCTAGCTGAAGATAGTAAATGCCCCGCACGACGCTGTCCGAAACACTGCTGCGAATCCGACACTGTCTGAAAACTTAGAGCCATCTGTGTACACAGCGGTGCATGAGAATGGAGTGGAAGTGATCAAGAAAAAGAGAGCGGGGAAACCCCCGTAGGGAGTTGAGCTTTCGAGCAAGGAAGTGAGAAAGAACAGACGAACAGCTGGAACTTCCCAGTGGGGTAGGGAAAAGTGAGATGCTACATGAACATATAAAGGTGGTAACTGAAGTGAAGACAAGAGTGGGAAAGTAGGCGAAGAGAAAAGGGAAAGGAGCAAACAGGGGCGGCGAACGAATAAAGAATGTCTACTAATATCGGTGGACCATTCTATAAATGGAAGGATTGTGTAGATCGTGAGAGCTTTCATAGTAGCGAAGGCAATGGGCATCATGGCGATCAGCAAGGATGGAACATTCGCTTCTGTTAGAGGCTCTCAACAGGGGAAGAGCGAAAAGCACCAAGGCACAAACTAATCCTTGGGGATGGATAGAGTTAAGGCTAGAGAGAGTAGCAGGAGAGGCTGCGGAATAAATCTGGTCACCATAATCGAGTTTCGATAAAACGAGGGCTGAATGTAGGCGAAGCAGAGTTCGACGATCATCCCCAGGAAAGATGAGCAAGGGTTTTAAGAAGGTTTAGCCGGCTGTGACAAGTTGCCTTCAGAGAGGTAATGTGAGGTTTCCAGGTAACCTACGGTCAAAGAGAAGGCCTAGAAACCTGACTATCACGTTCGGGGATACGGAGCCATAGAGATACAAAGGATGATCGGGGATAACAGAGCGTCTAGTGAAGGAATTTGGCGAGTTTTTTGGTACTTGGAAATTTTAAAACCCA